CCAAAGCGTTAGCTCTTAAGAGCAAAGCGTTATAACGTTTTGCCAAAGCGTTAGCCGTTAAGATCAAAGCGTTATAACGCTTTGCCAAAGCGTTAGCAGCACTTGAAAAAGCGTTAATGACCGTTAAAAACGGCCGTTTAACGCTAAAGCGTTAAGACACGTTTTCTCGTGAGAGGTCACATTTTTACCAGAGAGTATGATCAGGCATGTTTGAAAAAAAACTCTTCGTGACCATTGCTTACCTCTTCCATGGATGCAGTAAATTTCTGTAGTACAAGTAAAGAAAAAAAGCAAAAATTAAAACACCACAGATACTATTGTTTAATCCATTTACAGTAAGTGGGGAAAAACTCACCAGTTTTCGAGTATTGTCTTTGTCATTAAAACTGAAGACATTTTGTAGAAATTCCAGTCTTGAAACCAAAAGTTTAAGTTCCCTAGAATTAACAATGATAGCTTATTATAGATTGAAACGATGCATTGCAATATTCTACATGCATGTATTGCAGCTTTGTTCCTACAACCTGCAATTTAGATATAACAACTGACTGTGCCCTTCATTTGAAGTAAATCAATTCTATGTAATATACATGTACACTTAGTAAAAATGTTTGTAAAATGAAGTGGTTTTAGTATAGAAATCCTCTTTCCTTCCTCTAATACAACATTTGCCTTGGTGAAGGTGACATATATACAGATTTATKTTTTTCGTTCCGGTATCCTTCTAGTAGTCATTTGCGMGCTGTGATTGGCTAGCGAGTGGTCCTGTTTTTCACAATCTGCCCGGTCCAMGTTATCCTTGTAATCAGGCTGTGAGCAAAGTTGCATAAAATACRAATAAAAAATAATAGAAAAGTTATTTATCGGCTATAGGTCAGTTCGTATAGGAAAACACTGCCCTCAGTCTTTTATGTATGGACCTCGCTGTGCTCATTCCGTACTGTCAAGACCTCGGGCAGTGTTTTGCTATACGGACCTCCCAGCAGGTAAATAACATATTTATATGTAATGCACAACAGTAATGCATACTTGACAAGATTTTGGGATGAATTGGCCAAGAGTTTCTGTAATCCTTCTAATGTCTGTCCTCCACTTGTTGCTATTTTGAAGTCCATTAATAGTGGTTCACCTAAATAGTGAGCTGCAGCATCCTTAAAGTCTTGGTCCAGTCTATACAATATGCACATAATTAAACCATTATCCYTCTTTTTATCTTAATGATTTTCMRTTTAATATAATGATTATGATSATCATCATCATAATCACAACTAATATCGCTGTTACAAGAATATCTAATGTATAATATTAGTATGTTAAGATGTAGCAATGCCTTAAATGCGAAATAAAGACGACTGATCAGTGAGCTAGTCTCTTCCAACAGCTGCGAMTTCCGGATTTGCAAAATTTTCTCCCTGAAAGTGTTAGCCCAGCCTGAGCAACATTCCTTTCCAATTGATTGACCAATCACCGCTTAGCTCCTGAAAACCAGGAGCCGTTTGCGCCRTAATAAAACAAGATGGTTGTTATTGCAGCTTYGAAATTTAAAATTAGAGAGTTAAATGACCATCAGTATTTCATACTTATCACTATCATATTCATCATGATGACCATAATCATTACACACTGTTATCAATAACTCACCCSTCACTATTTACTTGACCCATTCTTGATTTAATAGTATTTTGAGCAGCAGAYGATGAGCTGTCGTTGTTACCATTTGTCATTTCTTCAGGATACTCAACGTCTTCATCTTCATCTTCATCTGCACAGAAAAATTTCTAGCTGTTTTCATATTGAACAAAAAATAGACTGCAGCATTATATGAAACATAAGCCAAATGACCAGGGAGCCCTGTTCAAATRAGACTGTACAAGGAACCCATGGTTRATCACTGTTAATGGCTACAATGACTTTCAAATATTAGCTATAGTATAATAATATTGCAATACCACATAATCACTTTATATTGCCTGTATACCTGATTCATCATCGTCAAAGCTGGCGCAGATAACTGGATACTTCAATTGGCATGGCAACCCTCTATCCGGCTGACTATAGTATGTTACTATATGTTCTAATAGCTCAAAATGTTGGTTGTCAACCCCAGGAACAGCCTAATGGGAGATATTAATAWTTGCTAATAATAATAATTATCCATTAAGATATGAATAAAGCAAAAATCAATAGAGGTTGCATCACATTTACTATAGCTAGTTTCAATGAAATGCTTCGCTGATGTACCCAATATAACTAAAACAACTTGTGAATCCTTCAAATTGAGAAATGAAGTAGCTTTATGAGTTAAAACGAAGACTTCACTTTACCTGCATATAAAAACGACCATCTCCTTCCCTGAATATTCTGTAGTGATGAATGTGCCCTTGAAATCTATTGAAAACATTGTATACATTATTCTGCTTGAACCTTTGGTAACTCTTTTACTTGTCAAGCATTAGATAAGAAGATGTAATAGTAACACTAAACAGAGAGATTATTTTAAGGATGGTAAAAAYAAAGTGTCAAGAACAAATCATGACTGATAATATTGTAAATGATAGGACTTTTATTTGATATTKGATGCAAAGCTTGATTCTGGTCTTGATTCACATTGGGCTTCCTGTKTCYTTYAAAGAATATACTYRCTATTSACTGAAACTATTAATAACTGTATGTTTTATCAATGCCTAATGAGCTARTTTGATATACTCTAATAGTCATAGAGGCAGGATGTTTTTACTCTTGGTAGAKGCCAATCACTGGCCCAATGAAGGAAAAACACAGAGTGAGTCTCTAGTTTCAAATATTTACAATAATAGCAGGACAAAGATTGAATGCATAAAAACAAGATTGTTCAAAGAAGTAATATGTGGCTGCTTATGATCTGATAAATTAGCCAAAACACATAGATTTTTCAGTGTGTCAACAAGATATTTCGAGTCCTATCCTATCATCTTCCTTTGCTACAAAGTAATTGGGAAAGAGTATTGAGAGTAGATGAAATTCTGTCAATTCTTCCCATAATGATGTCATTGGTCAGGTACATTTGACAATGATAGGCAGCATTTGTGGAATTTCAAATAATTTATGCTCTTACGATYATTTGTGGAATGCTATAAGAGCTACAGTGTGTATTTCACACAGCTGAACTGAATGTAAACATCCCAACCATAAATACCACAGAAAAAAGGTATACCCAGATTGCTAAATAAAGTCAACAGATGGATTCATGTATTTTGTGCATAGTAGTTATATGAAAACCAATATTTAACTACATGTAAATCACCTTTTGCCATCATTTAAGTTGAGGTTATTAGCTTGAGTAAACTAATCTGAAGTGACTAATGATTCAGGCCTTGACTTAATTAGTTAAAGGCACAATACTAATAATAGCTATTATTTATCAGTAATCAACTTAAGGAAYAACTACACACATACGGCAGTTTGGAGGGAATCTATAACATTTTGCACAGATCAAAAAAGTACGTTTAAGATCGTCTTAAGATGGTACTTAAGCTTACATYAAACTCAGAACGAAAGCATTTGCAATACTTTCGCTATCACGAATCAAAAATGACCCATCTTTACCACTACCAAGAAGCAGTTTCTCTGTATCCAGACGAGTAATACCTTTGTGATGCCAAACACCAGACATCTAAAAAGAAAACACGGGTAAACTTTGCAAAACACAATCGCGATTGCAGAGCTTCCGCCTGTAACATCTTGAAGGCGGCAAACTTTCACCTTGGACAAATTCCATGAAAATTTCACCAACCTTTTGCTTGAAACAGCGCTCTTCTGAGATGATAATGATCAAACTACATCTTAAAATGTTTGTAGCCTATTTGTAGGATAAACTTGAGGGAATTCAAGCTCGTCCCAAAGACGTTTTTCTGTCCGTTTTTCTGCATTTAATGTTTATAAAATGCTTGATCCATAGGTCGATGAGGAATGACCGCTGACTGATAAGTATTTTGTCACTGGAATGTTGCCACGGCGACCCACGGCGACTTGCAGAGAGGGGCACTTAAACAGTGTCTATTTTTTATCACYCATGAACTTATCCAGAAGWTGTTAAGGTTCTTATTTCACAGTTTCGCGCAAACATGATGGTACGGGTACTCGTTTTCCGGGGAAACGTGAGGAAAACGGACATTCTCTTTCAGTCTCTTCTCTCTCACCTCTTTCACTTTCCACTAATTCCAGGCTTTTAGGATAAACGGGATTTTAAGTTCGTTATACGTAATTCCATGCAGAATAAAGAAAGCCTTTCTTGATGTGAGATATTCAATGGCATGAATCCAACAAAGGAAGAAAGTGCAGTTGACAACTACTCCTTGTGTGCTCAGGAAAGACACAGATAAAAAAAATAGGCAGTCGAGCAGTAGCCTRTGTTACATCCGGAATTTCTGTCAAGCAGTGCATGTGAGWGAATCAGACCATTAAAATATTTAGTAAAATCCGAGTTAGCTAAGTTGCAAAATGGCAATTCTAAATTGAATTGCTTTCCYATGGAAATCGTCACTCTATGAAAACTCCCGAACGGCGATAGAAAGACCCACAATGCATTTCTCTCTTGGAATACGTTTTCTGCAAGGAACTGGAAGCATAAAGTGGCTATCAACATTACGTTGCCTATGAATACACAACAGGTGGCGATTCCCAGGGGCTAAGGAACSTATTGTGATCATTGATCATTCCTCCGTGGGGACCTGACGCGGGGTGCTCTGTTTCCCTGCCCTATAATAAACATATCCGTCTGAAACCTTCTGAAAAGGAATTTTTATCGATGGAGTCGTTAGAACTTTAATTTAGCTATCAGTCAAAGGCATCTTTTTATCTGTTGAGTTATAAACTCATGATAAATTCTGGAACGTTTTCTTCGATGTATTTTTACATCCATGTTAAGATTACATGAGATTATTCCCATTCGCCTGATTTTAGTTTTGCAATAAAACCGCGAAAGATTGTTAGTTGTAGTTTTTTTTTTTTTTTATTCTTTATTAATTTTATACRGATCCCATTCATCCTCTTCAATTATYAACTTTCAATTATATTTAGATATAATAATTATTTGATTCAATCACTCCATTTGTAAATTACATCATCAAGAACGTGGAATGTTCGAGTCAGTGTTGAAGTTTCAGTAATCGTGTTCCGTTTAATCCCGGCAAATCTTTGGCAACACTAGAGCCTGCCTGGTAATTACGTTAAGAATTCCAAGAGATTTTTGCCGTGCAGTTTTCCGAATACTAGTAAATGTCTGTCTGATATAAAGACTGTACAGCTTAGTCTATGATGATTTGGAAAACAATAACGACAACTGAACAACTCGGTGAAAGACGTCACAGTTCATCGAGTAMATCGGTATTCGGTCGCAAACAAGCACTCAGCACCCATCCCCACCCCCCATCAAATAATGAATCCACTGTAGAATGATATGCAAACCCTGTTCGTGTGCTAATTCTTGAGCTGAGCTCTGATTGGCGCGCGGATCCCTAAGGATTTTGGTGACGTCATATTTTAGCATAGAGTTAACCGAATAGACCATCCCGATTAGACATTAGATATCTATCAGTGACTTCATAGYACGATGGTCTAAGAGGGTAGCTAAAGGTATGCTCTAGTGGGCGGCTACYCCCTCACTCCCTGGCCTTTTGGTTAAGACTAAGTTTTATGTTCACTCGGGATAGCGTGGAAGAGCCGAAATCTCTAACCGTAACGTAAGCCGATTCGACGCCTCAGCTTCATAGAATGTCTCGGGGGAATCGTCCCATCTTTTTAGTTTTTAATTTCATTATTTCTTATGTATGCCGGGGGGGTCAAAACTTTCACTTAAGTGAAGTCCTGAGTTCGAGTCCTGCTGACGCAATCTCTTTTTTTTTTTTTGCTTGTTAATTGTTTTTTTTTTTATATTATTATTTTTTTCTCTTTCTTTTTCTTTATTCTTTTTCTTTGCTACTTTGTTTGTTTTTCTCTAGAGGGATTTTCTCTTTTCATCCAGTTTTAAAACATATCAAGGACTCGCAAGTAACGCCTGCTAAAGGTCGGTCACACAATATTAGCATAGTGCACGACGACACAGGGAGCCCAAGCAATGACTTTGAACCTATAATAGTTAAAAATAAAATTTTACTTAAAAAAATAGTCTACTTCTATTTTATTCAGTGTCACAATGGATTAAAAATGGGTTTAAAAAAATTTCCCCTCCCTATATATATATATAGTGGCAAGGGAGGAGACTCCGCTCGAAATTCTCCTAAAAATGAGCCAAAAACGATCCAAAAAAATCCTTTTTTCGCGCCGAAATTAAATCAAAACGAACATTTATCTGAGACAGCATATGCAAATCAACGTTTTTAGTACCTTATTTTGGACGAGAGGCATCGATAGAAACGCTTTTTCGGGCAAAAATATCCAAAAAAGTGCCACAAAAAATAGCCCAAACCCGTTCGCAGCGGGGTTATCCTGAGACGGAGACACTAGCGCGCGCAAAACTGAAAACTAGACAAATTTGGAGACTACTGCATACTTCAGATTACTATATTCGGAAATTTCAGAAGAGAAAACGTTCAAAATTATAACATAGACTTGTTTTTCGAAATCATACGGTATGATCATGGATAATAAAAGCTTTTATTATCCATGGTATGATTTGTTAATATTTATCGACTGAACACTGCAAAAACCGAGCACCGCTTTTTCAAGAGCTTAACTATTTCATAGTTTATTTAACTATGCTATTTTTGTCAGAAAAAAAACTTGATATTAAATGTCAGGTCTATTGAGATCATTGAGTGTTAACTTTACGAAAAAAAACTATTAAACTAGTTATGCTACTTTCGTCAAAAAACTTGAAATAAAGAATCCGGTGAAATCGTCAAGTTTAAACTGTGCGAAAACGGCAACAAATTGTAATGAGTCTCGATAGCTTAGAGATGTTAACCACTGTTCATATTATAGAGCGAATTTCGTATGAGTGGGAAACGGACGGTACTGTACTGTGACCGTAATCGTACTGTAACCAAATTCTAGTGCCCCATTGGTTCACCAAAATTGTGCAGGCCAGGTGCGGTAACTGTGCGGTAACCATGCGGTAACGGTKTCCCACTCATACGAAATCCGCTCTAAGTCCCGAGGTATTACGTTCTCCGCACTTGACGTCAAATTCATTCTTTTGAATTCCTTTTGTATTGTAAATAAAAGCAAGCAAGGATAACCTCGGATAACCTCGATGCGAGTGGGTTTGGGCTCTTTTTGGGGGCACTTTTTTGGATTTTTTTTTGCCCGAAAAAGCGTTTCTATCGATGCCTCTCGTCCAAAATAAGGTAAAAAACGTTGATTTACATATGCTGTCTCAGATAAATGTTCGTTTTGATTTAATTTCGGCGCGAAAAAAGGATTTTTTGGATCGTTTTTTTGGCTCATTTTTAGGTGATTTCGAGCGGAGTCTCCTCCCTTGCCACTATATATATATATATAGGGAGGGAAAATTTTTTTAAACCCATTTTTAATCCATTGTGACACTGAATAAAATAGAAGTAGACTATTTTTTTAAGTAAAATTTTATTTTTAACTATTATAGGTTCAAAGTCATTGCTTGGGCTCCCTCTGGTGACGAGAGGCCCCAAGAAGGGAAAAGAAGAGAAGGGAGAGTAAGAGTGAAAAGAAATTGATCAGAAAGAACAAAACGAACAAAGTAATAATAAGAGAAAATAATGGAAGATCATGAAATGAAATATTAACTGGATGTCTGAATTGAATTGAATCCCAAAGCATTTGTCTAGTAGGATAGAACCTCTGAGGATKTATCACCCTGATGTATATTTGGCTTGGAGCCTCCATTCTCCGGCGCACAGTAGTATTAAGCTTGAATTTGCCCCCTCCCTACGCCAGTGATCATTTACATACAACACTGTTGGCACTTGTATTAAAGACAATATCATGGTTCAGGAGGCCAAGGGATGATATTTCGCCAAGACTGTCCTTGAAGGGACCTTGTATATACATTGCTCGAATTGCTGCGACAAAAAAAAAATACAATAATAACTGATGGAGTTCACCGTASTTCTGTCATGCGGCATGACATTCCGTAAAAAAAAACATGAATTCTCGGTTTGCATGCAACCACATAGCCATGGATCCCTGAGAGACAAAACAACAAGCTATCGCGGCCATGTTGGATGAGAACAATAGTACTTAACTGATAAGGGAATGTAATGCAAAGACAATGATCGTCAATTAATTAGTATTGTGTTTCGTGACATCGATTRTCTCTGTCCGAATAAAACTAAATTACGACTGAAAAAGGGCAAAGTATGATGCGTTTTATAGAAGTTTGCAAAGTATTTTGCTTTGAATGGAGCGAATACTGTAGGCATAATATGCCCTTGGTAACCCTTAGACATCGAGTGACTATGAGTGATGTCCACTTAACGTGACAGCTGCGACATGCACGGTTTGTTCAGTTCCAAGTACAAATGGAAAAGATAATAACAACGAAGAAGAAACTCTCTATAATGCACCTCCGTTTTAAAATGGAATTTTAAATTGGTTTTGAAATAGTTGAAAGTGCACACCATGTATGTTTACTCTGCTTATTGTAATAAAGATTAGAACTTGATCACTCACGCGTCAAAATGAATAAATAGATTTTTATTTGTGTACTAAGCCAGCCAGGTTAGGTAGGCTAACTTTTCAAGCTTTTCTGATTTTTTTTTTAAGGTGAAGAAAGCCAGAAGATGATAGTGGCTAGACTTATCAGGTTTCTGCTCTAGATTTACACCAGCCAGTTTTGGAATTACAAACATTTATTGTCGATTGGCATCTCTAGAATCATTACCAATCTGATCAGTTAGTGACATCTTGGGAAATCACTATTGTTAGCCAAACCGGTTAAACAGGTTTTTGTTGCTCATGTATTTAGAGCGATGCACGTACGCATAGGTCGCTCTCTTTCAGTCAACTGCAGCTGACATGGGTCGATCCAAGGAATATGCGCATCCTTCCGACGGAGAAGCAAAAGGCAAAAACCCAATCATTTGGAAGATCCTAACGCTTGTGTTGCTACTTATATGCATAGCACTTCTGATAGCTTTGATTGTAGTCGCTTCAAGATCGCACGACGGGAAAAAGAGAGCAGAAGACAATGGCCAGCAGAGCGACCAAGACAAGTTAAGTGCAAAGGCTTGCACAAGTGAGCCAGCTGCAGGCATCAAAATATCTCGCAAATCATCGCAAATCTTTGAAGACCTAAGYGCTGAAGAAATAATCGCTGTCCGTGACTATATGTATGCAGATAAGAAGCTCGACATAACTCCATACGATAACGCCACTGTTGCGGACAACTATATATACTTCATCAAGCTCAGACCACCGTCAAAAGCAGACGCTCTTAAATATCTGGATGGCAATGGAGACAAGCCTCGCAGAGAAGCAATCGTCTCAGTGTATGCAGGAGCAAGGTCGAAAGTAGAAGAGTACATTGTTTACCCAGCGGGAAAACCAACCAAACACGACGAGCTGAAAGTTTCAGGTCAAAGGTATCCTATTCCCTTTGACTCACGACCATTTGATGAGACYATTGAAGCAGGACAGATAACAAAAATGCTGTACGCAGCGACGTCAAAAGTTAAAGAACTGATKTTAGAAACCTACGATGGCTACTCGTTTGGCGGCRAATGYGGCAGTAAATGCATTACATACATGTACGCATCACCCATGGGTTTTACTAGCACAACACGTGAAACGTGGTTCTGGTTAATGCGTGATGTACCAGGAAAGTACGAAAACCCATTGGATTTTGAAGTTTACATCGATCACAAAGGCCCCGACGTTTCGAAATGGAAAATATTAAAAATCGTCTACAACAACCAATCRTTTGCWTCGGCAGAYGATTTACTGAAGGCATACAACGATAAAACACTGAAAATAAGCAAAAATCCTGCACCATCCAAAGAAAAATTGTTTTCTTCTTATGAAAGACGTGGAGACCCACAACCCGCGAAACCSTCTAGGGGTCCGGAGCTGTTYGAACCAGACGGGAAGCGTTACGCCATCGATAGAGAACGAGTAGAGTACATGGGTTGGGAGTTCGAATTCCGCGTTGACTCRATCAATGGAATGGAGATCTATGATATTCGCTACAAGGGAGATCGCATCGTGTACGAATTGAGTATTCAAGAAGCCATYGCTACATATACTGGCTACTACCCTTCTCAAACACACATGTACTACTTGGATGGAAACTGGAGACTGGGAATGAGTAGTTTTGAATTGGTCCCTGGAGTAGACTGTCCTAAAACTGCTGGGTTTTTCAATCTTTCTCACATGATAGGAACGCCTAACGCTGTCACCATGAARAACGCTGTCTGCGTWTTTGAGCAAAATACAGGTATAACTTTTTGAATATTTAGTCGCATTAGCTCTGTTTGTATGATAAAGGAAAGTTTTTGGGATTTAATTATTGGCTGGCCATTTGATTTTTGAGGGGGGGGGGGATTTTTGTAGACCTTAAGCAAGTGTTCAAAAGTTATTTGGTAAAATTTCAAGACTCTAGTGGAAATTTGACCTTCCAACAATCCAGTATATCAATTTTTAAAAACCAGAAAAGACAAATGGTTAATCCCTATAGCTTATTACAATTCAATCAGGTACTTGACCTTTGTCATCAAAGCTGATTTCGGCTTATTTTGGCTTTAATACATAGTGTTTAGTGTAGCCTGCGTAGCGGCCCTAAGGGGATTGGGGAGGGCCGGCCGATTTTCCTCCCCACTCCCCGCTCGGCCGGCCCTCCCTAATCCCCTTAGGGCCGCTACGCAGGCTATGTTTAGTGCTGGGCTTAAGATGTGTATTCTTGAACATGATTGGTTCGTCTGGCATTTTAGGAACAGAACACTTGACATGGACAAGAAAAACTAAACAATCAATCGGAAGACGCAAAAGCACGGAAGATTTACCAAACTTTAGCAACATYCGAATTTTCCAATCACTGAATACCTGCTTCGAATTGTTGTTAGTACAGTCCTCATCTGACCAAATAGTGATTCAAAAAGGGCTAAAAAAGAGTCTTCCAAATCTTAGGAAAAGGATCTTTTGTACGACTTCCATGAAATCGTAAYATTTTATGTGGRGAAGAATTTTTTTTATAGTTTTAATTGAAAAGAAACCGTAAAGGACGAGCGCGAAGTACCCAAAACTACTATTAATAAAACAATGCCGCTTATGATTCGGTTCATGAATTTTCACTTCCGTACGCGTAAGGATTTGAGATTGGTATCCCCAAGATGTTGGGCTTCCTGTGCCCAGGAGGACGGAAAGCGTAATCAATAATATAACGCATAGTAGCAAAGTACTTATTAATCCAATAGCTCGAGATAAGATTATCTTTTTTTCATTCATTTATTTTCTTGTTTTGCTTTGTTTTTGTTTTTTTTGTTGTTTTTTGTTTTCGTAATCGTTTTTTTTAATCTCCAGGCATACCGTTACGTCGACATGAGGAAAGTGACTTTGTCAGTAGCTACAAGTTCTATGGCGGAATGGCCAACAACGTGCTCGTCTTGCGTACTATACCAACCGTCTACAATTACGACTACGTATGGGACTTTATATTTTATCAAAACGGTGTCATTGAAGTACGATTGTCCGCCTCTGGTTACGTCATGGGGTCTATTTACACCGATGACTCTAAATCTTATTGTAACAGACTATCTGAACATGGAGGAGGCTGCACACATGAGCACTTGATCAACTTCAAAGTTGACATGGACGTCCTTGGTACCGAGAACTCGTATGAAACCATTGAGATTGGAATGGAGAATGTTACAAGTCGATGGATTGACAATTTTAACCGCATGCGCAAAGTCTTGATACCGGAGACCAAGAAAACTGAAAAGGATGCCTTGTACAAGTTTGACTTTGATCGACCAAAGTACTTGAATTTCTATCACGAAGGGAAGACCAATAAAATGGGAGTACGCAGAGGTTACAGAATACAGAATAATGGACTTTCGAAGATGTTATACCCGGAGGATTGGATGCTAGTACCCATGATTAGCTGGGGTCTGTATCAAATGGCTGTAACCAGGTAAAGTTAAAAATAGCRATGAGATTATTATCTTCCCCAAATTTACTTCTCATAAATATTTGCCTCTATAGCTGACTTTAGATATTTTGGTTCGATGACTATGTACAAAAGAACGGTTTAGGCTCCGGGAAAACAATGGATAATCTTGATTTATTCTTTTATTTCCACGCGGAGCCTAGTCTGTAATTCTTTTGAGCATGGTCACTGAACCAAAATATCTAAAGTCAGCTATTGAATGGTCGACCTGTTCAATGCGSTCGCTTTGTATTTTCGGCCGGGGGGACAATATAATCTATTCTAATTTGATTGTTTTGCGGTTCCAGGCACAAAGACAACGAGAGGTACAGTTCCTCTCCATACAACCAAAATGCTGGAGCAGACCCTCAGGTGGATTTCAGGGACTTCGTCGGTAACGAGAGCATTGTCAATCAAGACCTGGTTGCCTGGGTAACCATTGGAATGATGCACGTCCCCCACTCTGAAGATATCCCAAATACAGCTACAGCAGCCAATCAAGCTCGGTTCTTTATCAGACCATTCAACTATTTTGATGAAGACCCGTCTATTGGCTCCACCAACGCCCTCCTGATGACACCAATAAAGAAGGGAACTAACAAGATAGAGCGTTACGGAACGCCAACCGGTCCAGTGTGCATTCCTATGAATAAAACCCTCGATTTCAGTGGGATCTATTGATTTTTAATCGACCATCCGCTAGTTTGCATGCATTCACTTGTTGCTAAGATTCATTCACATGAAGTTGCATTGAAAACGACAATAAATTGTTTTTAGTGTTTCATTGTGTCTTTTTACATAGCTACATACAACTATTCTCATTGACGARYGRCGAAAAAGCTCTTAGGTTACAGAACTCCTGGGATATCGGGGCAGGGCRGGAAAATAAGCCGTAGCTTATAAACTGATAGGTAGATGGCCCGCAGATCAATACTAATTTCCTTTGGTACACGTTTTACTACTTTCAAGATAACCTATATATTATTAAACTTTTTAGGTACGGTCAGATCTGTTACGCAATGAAATTGAAACCACGCTTAACGCAGGCTAATGATCTACCAAATTATATCCACATATTCTCTTTTCTTATTGATCGAAATTGTGCGATTAAATTCATAAGTCAATGGGAAACAGTTGGTGGTCGGGGACGGACACGTACGCAAATTTAAAAGCCGAGACTACCGATTTTCTAAGAGAAACTTAAATTTTGTATAATGGCATTAAGATTTTATTTTGACAAATGATTTCATTAAAATCTTCTGTATGGATCGCAGCCTCTCTCTCGTGGAGCTTCCTGTCACGAAACCGGAAGTTACGACTATTATGAAAGTGCACATACTGGCAACAGTCTGTTTTTATGGACACATAGTATTTTGAAAGGTAGTCAATATCTGGCAATCTTGACAATACCTCGGCTTATAATACTTCGAATATTAAAAACATCTCATCAAATAATCGATTAGATATCCAAAAATATATTCTAAATGCAAAATATGTTTGCAATGCGTATTTATTTGGGACGTTATTTTACTATATTACGTAATTGAATTATTTATATCCTTCTGTACTGCCTCCATAGTGACCACAATCTTTGCATACACCACGWGCTTATAACGCAGTCGCGCACTACACGGCTGTTGTTCATTTGTCGTGAAGATGAAGTCTGTATTCTTGCTATTTSTWCTCTTGATGCTGTTGTCGTTCGAGTCTATTGACGCCGCWAGGGGAAGAGGCGGGGGAAGAAGTAGTGGCCGAAGCCGTTCAAGCAGTCGTTCACGTTCGAGTTCCAGATCCGGCTCAACCAGACGAATGAAATACGGGCCTTACTCTGGCAGTGTGACCAAATACACACCTATTCCTGTTCGAACGAAAACTACACCAGCGATCATAAAACAAACGACTGTGCCCTCAAGATCTAACATTTATACCAAGCTGTTTGTTGGGTACATGGTYTTTCGGTACGTTAGTCTTAGYAATAGACCCGTCTACAGACAAAGATATAGAAATCCGTACAGTCAAAGCGAAGTCGTAATCCCTGAAGAGAGAGCCATTCGTGTTACCAAAATAGAAGAGAAATTGCTCGATTCGGATGGTAAATCCTGCTTAAATTCGCACGAAGAGCGAAAGCTTTTGCCGGACATCAATGAACGTGTGTCGTTCGTATCATGCGAAGTCAAGTATGGCGATGGACGTCGAAWGTACTACACCGGCGATAGCGCCAAAAATGTGGTTTTAGACAAGTCAGTTCTYGACCAAGATGTTCARGTTTCCACTCTTGTGAAGTACAATGGATCAATAATTGAAAATACTCAATGCACTCAGATGGAGAATAATGTGGAAGGGACTGTCATTCGCTTGTATGCTACAAACCCTGACAAGGCAGGCATAACAAGTGGTAGCCGTCTCGTCATTGTTTTGGCTTTTATCGTTTATTTTATCTTCACACTCGCCTGACACACTGAAAGCAAAGAACATCACAAACTAATCCTCACKATAAGGAATGCTGGTATTATACTTAAAGAAAACAACACACTTCAAACATGTAGAAAATGCAAATCACAGAACAGAACTGTGACTAACTTATCGTCACCTGCGTCGCTTTTGTATTTGCTCACTTTGAATTAATTTTGCTAAAAGACTAATGATAATTTAGTGCTTCTTTTTAGAGAAGCTAATTTGTCATCAATAATTTTTTTGTACGTAAATAATATCTAAGGCCGAATGTTTTGAACGTTTATTATAATTATTTGAGGCCGCATGTTTTAAACGTTGTTTTGCAGGTGGCCAAAAAAATAAAAATTTTCAGCAGATAATTCAATTTGCTATTGAAACGACAAGTGTGATGGTCCTTTTTTACTTAGGAATATTGTGCRCATTTGAAAATATTTGGAAATTATCAATTTTGCATGCGATTATCACGGTGACGTAATGCACACTGAGTTATGTGGTGTGACTGACGCAATTAGGTCGTTGTTGGTATTCCGTCATAGTTTTAGTAATAATGTGTTAGTATTAGACATACTAGKTTAACGATTCAAGGCAAAGACTATAAGAATTCACCGTTAAATACTATTAAAGTGTATTAATGTGCGATTAATATAGCAGCTGAAGCAAAGCAGCTAGGCTTAATATACTTGGCGTGACACTGTATGAACATAAACAAAACTATTATGATGTTAATGTTAATAGTTATTGTTTGGTTATGTATAAAAGACAAAGTAATAATAAAGTTGGCTTTGTTGGTTGATGCACGTTTCAAATGCTTTGTACAGATCCAGTAGACCTCGAGAATCAATCAAATCACTATCCGTCAATTCTAGGACACAGCATTGAAAAGGAACATTCTATATTGCTTGTTGGTCTAGCTTCACATTTCTTCTTCTTCCGGGCTAGCCCCGTTTCCTCAAAGCAGAAAATCCTCACAGAGGTTTGCAAAGTAAAGTCATGAAAATGAAAAATAATGATGACATAATGTCAGACAATAGCTTCCAACTTCCTCTTTATGAAGGAATGCTAGCGTGAAAACGCAAAACTGAGGATTTCCGGAAATGGTTGGTTTTGGGGTCATTCTGTAGCATGGAAATTTTGGTTCAAACTTTGAAAAAACATGGAGTYATTTAGATCAATTGTTGTTGTTTTTTTGCCAAATTGTTACGACTTCGTACCAAAAATACATTGCTTCAAGGCTTTTCCAACGTTTCGCAATTTCCATCCAAGTAGACCCTTTGAAAGCATCTATAATACTGTTCTAGTTTGATTATGTCCCATTAAGACCGTTCTATATTTTCTTTAAGTAAGAGATAAAAAGTACTGACTATATTTGGTATACTGTTCTTGAAAATTTCAAAGCCTAACATTAATAATTTCATCGTAGTCATCAGTGTGTCAAATATGATCGTCAAATCGTTAAAGCTTTTGTTGCCATATTGACCAAGGGATGGAAAGTACTTATGAATCTCATAATCCAATAAAGATTTTTTTCAGTTCCCCGGCTCCAATTAAAACCTAAAATTATTAAAGATGCAAGCTTTTATGTATAAAGCTAAATTATCATAGAAGCTTAGACGCAAGACGACCAAAACCGCCGTGAACTCACAATTTTCTCTGCAGGCAACTGTCGGTTCTCACAGCCAAATGCCATCGATGGATCATACATTGAAAAGCACAAACCCCAGTCATCATAGTCTTATACAGTATCCTTCAGACACTGTACTTAGTAGTTTTAAAAACACCTGATTTACGATATTTAACATTGTGAAATTTAAACGTTCTCAATCTAGTATACAATATAATAAAAGGCGAATGAATTATTAATGTTAACAGAATAATAGCATGAATTTCACACAATGCTCCTATACGCCCTTTCTAATAATGTTATTTCATCTAAGACAGGTAATGATATATTTCATAGTCTTTCACTAGCAGGCGCGTAGCGTGGACGTTTTGGCTATTATGCACATGTCAGGGACCGCGACACATATTTTGGATCTGGGAGTCGAACGGCCGCCAAACGCGGGAGTATTAAGGGAGTCTGGACTTCCCCCAGGAAATTTTGAAAAAATTTCTCTTGGAAATGAGATTTCCAGCGTTTTGAAAGACATCGAGGTCATATAAAAGGGATCAATTTTATGCGATATTTTCAGTAATTTTTGTGAAGATTTAAATATTTCCTTATCACTAGTACGCAAGCGCGTATATGCGCCTGACTACGCAAGCCTAGTTTGCACTAAACTAAGGTTATATATAAGAGAAGCCTGTGAATTCAGAGTTTTGGATGAATGTATAGCCATGACAGGAATATATCAGAAATAACTGAATATAATATATAATTGCATCTTTTAATCTGATTGGATTGGATACGCCTAATTAAAAACACGGGTCCCAGAAGGCTACATAATCAAAGCTACAATCGAAAGGGATCATGGGAAAGTAAATATTATGCAATATCAAAGGAGTGCCCGCACTGAATAAAATGACCTTCTCTACGAGTAATTGTATGTAAAATGTTCGGTAGACAAATATAATTAGAATTTCTGAATACTAAAACTTCCCTTTTATGTTAGCTTTAATAGGTGATATCACCTTTTTGCGACCCGAAAACGTTTTCAGTTTCATTTAAGTGACGTCCAATCATTGAATACATCCATCCTCTCAGATATTGTTATATTCTTGGATTGTATATATCAGTTTAAAAYCTTGTCTTCTTGGCAATTATACAATGATTTGAACAGATAAACAAATATCTGGCCAAGTCGCCGTAATMTAGAGACAGTGCCAGCTTACCAGCTTAGCCTATATAAAAAGCTACAAAATCATATATCATRATATTAGGAATTCAGCTGAACAGGGTCATTAGTATTTTTGAAATATCGCCAAAGGTGGCCATTCCTATTAATTAACTGAGCTAAATTTTTAATTATGTAGGCAAGGTATTTAATTTGAATCACAGAGAACAATMGCAAGACACTTTGTGGTAGAACGTTAGATCCGCACTAATAAAAAAAGCGATGAAAAGTTGGTGAAGTTGTTCGTTGAAATGGCTGAGAATGAAATGAAATTCACCCAGCCAAAACGCCAAAGTCTAAGGCAACGTCTCGAAGATTTCTCAGAGTATACAACATGCCATGGTCTTCGGTTTGTTATCGGAGCAGAAAGGGGTATTTTCCGTCGACTTGTCTGGCTCGCCGTTATCCTGACAGGCGTAGGAATGTTGACAAACCAAGTGATAACCAGTTACAGAAAGTTTAAAGACCATGAGCATGTGATCACTAAAGAGATCGATTCCAGTTCAGGATACCTAACYTTCCCCGCTGTTACCGTGTGCAATGTAAACATSATGAAAAAATCCAAAATTAWAGACACAGATGCTCAAATTTATCTGGACCAGCTGAACGYTCTAAAGAAATCATTAAGTTTTTCGCAGGGATTTTCAAACAAAATGCTTAATAATTCGTTTGATATCGAAAAAGCCGTCCTGAAAAATGGTCACAGTGCAAGAGATATGATATATGTATGCACTTGGGGTGGAGAACTGTGCAGCCACCTTAACGTCACAACGAGCGTTTCACAAATTGTAAGTATTTTAGTGTATTAAAATCGCTAGCCTGAGTATAAACCCCTTCGAGAGAGCCTGATACTCAGGCTATCAAATCGCGTTTATCTCAAATACTTATAATGGAGTAGAAAAGGTACAACATGAAAGAAAATTGCCTTGTTTTGATGACATAATTGGCTAGTTAATCCGACAAAGTRTAGATAAGCCATACGAGCTCTCGACAAGCCTGTTTGTACCCTATTTGCTTCAAGGTAGCGGAAATTTAAAGAACTCCTAGTATTACAAGACACGAAAACTCRAGCATATGAAACACAATACTTCAGCTGTGCGGTTTTCTTTTCAGTAGCACTTCTTTCTTTCATTTATTGTATCTGCGACCTTCTTTCTATCCCACAATACTTTTGCTTKCACGCACCGGGGTCCTTGATAAAACCAGCTCAGTTWATTTGAWAAACATTTTACTATTACAAGCCCAAAACCCTTTATCGCTGTTAATGATAGCAATCATAATGAAAAAAGCAAAGCATCCAAAACATGAATGTAGGACCCATGGAGGAGTTCTGCTTAATAAAAACTGTTTATTCAGCTTACACCAATGGGTATTGAAATTGCCATCACAAGATTGAATTTTATAGAGGTGCTTATTAAAGTTCTTAAGTAGTTTTGCCTGCTTTACAATTCTTGGTCTCGTCACTTCTATGTAGTAATTAACGTCCCTCTGTTAGCACAAAACGTTCTACCTTAATTAATAGTAATTCGTTAAACCCAACTCTAACATGTGATAATCCATCAACATTTTTGCCAACATAACGCCTTGGTGATTACCAAGGCTACCTTGTTAAACAAATTAATGTTTTTTCTTTTAATAAAAATTATTGATTTTTCTTAAACAAAAATAATCAGTTTCTTGTCATTAACGTATAGAGTACAAACACTAAAACTGTGTGCAACATAAATACCACTAATTAAATACTGCTAAATTATGCTAATTCTATTGTTTTCTATTGTTTAATTAATACTATTTTGTAGTWAATAGTGGAAAGTGTTGCACACATTTTATGTTTGTACTCTATTGTCGTCTTCAGTGATTTCAATGTTACAAGTGAGACATCACCACATCAAAATGGTATTTTTTCCTTCGCTTCTCGGAGGGTGAGAAAAGTAGCTCTGTTCGCAGAGTAACTTTGTTCGTTTGTATTAATTTATCTCTTTCCTCCGACGTGAAGGGATTAAATTTCGAAACGTCAGTAAGTTGTTTCACCTACTTTCTTACGTCGTTAAAATTACCTTTTTGCGCARCTGTTTTTTTAGAAACGCYGACGCAGCTCCTAACTAGTTTACCGCTAGTTTCCGCCATTTTAATYAATTTACGATTTTTTTCACAGTACGGACTTTGTCACACATTTAATTCAGGGCGACAAGGACACTCCCTTCTCTCTTCCTATACAACGAAGCGAACCAAAGGCCTGCATYTATTGATTGACATAACAAAAGATGAATATTATGGGTTTTCAAGCTACTTTAATACTGGGATACGAGTGGTYATCCATGACCAGAATGAGGAGCCAATGGYGGAAGTTCAAGGAATCGATGTTATGCCAGGTCACATGACAACAATGAACATCCAAAAGACAGAGGTATGTATGGCTGCATAAAACTAATATTTTCTCGACACTGCGTGTGATTGACAAACAGTTTTTWTTTTCATTTCATTAGTATGTCAGCCTTCCACCACCATTCAAGTCTGCATGTGACAGCAGAAAACTGACAACGTCACAGGTTTACTCCAGGAGCACGTGTCTACTGGAATGCAGAACTCGTGAAGTTATCCAGAAATGTGGTTGTAGACTGCTAGGAATGCCTGACTTACCAGGTAGAGTTAAAGGAGGGAAAACCAACCAACCGACCAACCAACCAACCGACCAACCAACCAATCGACCAACCAACCAACCGACCAACCAACCAATCGACCCACCGACCAACCAACCAACCAAATGCAGACAATCGCGTTAATTTTCGATCTTTAACTATTCTTGTTTTGAGGGCTTAGGAGAAAAAATCGAATTACATTTGGTAATAATTTCATATGTATTTATTATTGTATTTTTCAGAATTTAACGGTACTAAACATTGTAACCCAAAAGAGGGGGTAGATTGTGGATTGTTTGCCAATATTAGCAGCATTCAACGTAAAAGATTAGAGGACGTCATGGCCACGCACTTTATAACATCATATGGTGGGTTCATAAATACTTAGTTTTGATTTCTCGGCTACCACATTGTTATTTATCGAGCTTTATATCTCATATTATTTTGTTGATATTACGGATTTAAGTT